AACCATAACTAACAACAGTTATATGGTTGACGTCACTAATCATTCTAATCGAAATGTTCTAATTGAATGCGATATAAATGATAACACCCTTTGTCCAGAGTCAATCGAGCTAAACAACTACAAAATATACGATTTCGAAAGCAAGAAGCATTTGCCAACGAGAAAATTATTCAATAACACAAAAAGTTCAAGTTGTCACGTCAATTTAAATCAATTAATTAGACATGATCACTTAAATTCAGAAGAAAGAACGCAGTTATTCCAACTGATCGAAAACTAGAAAGAAATTCTTCATAAACCAGGAGACCCTCTAACATTTACAAATGATGTAAAACATGTCTTCAACGCCTCCGACGAAATTCCAGTCCACACGAAAAGCTATAGATACCCGTATGTGCATAAAAATGAAGTAAACAGAAAAATTTCTGAAATGTTGCAATCGAACATCATTCGACCTTCCACCTATCCCTATCTTTTTTCTATCTTCTTCCTATCCACCCTGGAGTTAACCAGTCTGGATAGTTCCGAAAAAGGTAGACGCATCACAGCAACAAAAATGGAGATTGGTAATCGACTATAGAAAACTAAATGAAAAAACACTTGACGATAGATATCCATTACCAAACATATCAGATATACTTGATAAGTTAGGACATTATCAATACTTCACCACACTTGACCTCGCCAACGGATTTCATCAAATCGCAATGCATCCAAAAAGTATCTCTAAAACCGCCTTTAACGTAGAAAATTGACATTATGAATTTACAAGAATGCCATTTGGACTAAAGAACGCACCATCCACATTCCAAAGAACAATGGATAATGTACTCAGAGGACTTCAAGGAAAAAACTGTCTTGTCTACATGGACGATATTAGCATCTACTCAACCAGTCTACAGGAACACTTAACTTCCTTAAAACAAGTTTTTGAAAGACTGATTTCTTTCAACATGAAGATACAACTAGACAAATCGGAATTCATGCAAAAAACAGTTGAATTCCTAGGACATGTTATAACGCCCGAAGGAATTAAACCAAATCCAAGAAAAATTGAAACCATCAAAAATTTCAAAAATCCCAACACTCCAAAAGAAATTACATCTTTTCTAGGACTTGTAGGATATTATCGTAAATTTATTAAGAACTTTGCAAAGATAACGAAACCATTAACTCATTGTCGTAAGAAAAACACTAAGATCATTCACAACAAACCATTTGTTGACGCATTTAATCTCTGCAAAAATATTCTAATGAACGAACCCATTCTACAATACCTGGACTTCGCAAAACCATTCATTCTACCAACGGATGCATCAGATTATGCTATAGGCGCAATTCTCTCACAAGGAACAATAGGAAACGACCTTCCAGTTGCATACGCCAGCCGAACACTCAATCCAGCTGAATGCAATTACTCAACAATTGAAAAAGAACTGTTAGCAATTGTATGGGCAACAAAGTACTTTAGACCGTACTTATTCGGCAGAAAATTCAGCATTGTAACAGATACAATCCATTACAAGAAAGGAACCCAAAATGCAAATGCAGACGCATTATCAAGACCTCCAAGAGAAATTCACCCGATGGAAACAGTAAAACCACCCTTGACACACATGTCAGCTGTTTGCAATGAAGATAACAAAGAAAGAGATCCATACGCATGGATTGACAACGTAAAACACTTCTTCGAATCTCAAGAAAGACTGTTTAATTCACCAAAAAAGGTAAACCCAAAACCGAAAATCAATATCATATC